CTAAACCATTGTTACAGTAAGTCAATATATTATATATCTAAACCATTGTTACAGTAAGTCAATATATTATATTTTCTAAACTATTGTTATAGTAAGTCAATATATCATATTGTTACAATAAATGAGCTTGTTGTATATCTCTTAAGAAACTGTTTCTACCGTTTTGAATAAGTAATAAAAAATATATTTTAGTAAACGAACTTTCAAGATATGTGCTCGTGCTGAATAGAATTCGAAAGTGTGTTTTTAAACAAACGTATCGTATCATTAATATACATTAATTTAGAAGTTTTCTGTTCTAAAACCAACAGTTTTAATCCTCATTGTTACCGCATATAAAGAAGAGATTGTGGTTCCAAAACGTAATATTGAGTCAATACATCATCATAAACCTGATGTCATACCAGATGCTAGTTCAACAATCCAACCATCGTTTCACAGCACTGTGTTTAGCACCAGGAACGAACAACAAAGCTACAGCTTTAACACGAAAGACGAAGTTGCATTTGTAGGTGATGTTACACGTTCCACACCATCTCCAGTTTCGGAGAGATATTTGTATTCTTCTTCTTTCTGGAAACATTTCGAGTCAGACTATTCACCACCATTTTCTTCTGATTCGAGTCCCACCAGTAATGGACACTCGTGGAACATTGAATTACACCACGGGCCTAGTTCAGAAGTATCTGTCCTACACGAACAACACAAGATAGAAAGTAAACTTTCTGAGAACTCAACACATGTTAGTCCGACTCCCGTTTATTCTATTCCAGGTAGTGCTACAGAACAGTTGGAACATGGTGCTAAGTTTGAGATAAAAACTAAAGTTCCTGAAAACTCAATCCATATTCGTCCAACTTCCGTTTATTCTATTGTAATTAGTGCTACAGAACCACTGGAACATAGTGCTAAATTTGAGATAGAAACTAAACTTCCCGAAAACTCAATCAATATTCGTCCAACTCCAGTTTTCTATATTTCAGTTAGTGCTACAGAACCATTGGAACATAGTGCTAAATTTGAGATAGAAACTAAACTTCCCGAAAACTCAATTCAATATTCGTCCAACTCCAGTTTTCTATATTTCAGTTAGTGCTACAGAACCGTCGGAACGTAGTGCTACATTTGTGAAAATTGTTCATAAAACCTCTCATAAGATCTCTAGTTCATTCAGTACAGATAAAATGAATTTTCTTAAAGTACCATCTTTGAAGTCGTTAAATACTATTCAAACAAAAAGAAAATATTCTACAAAAGACGCTCAAAAAACACTGGCGATAGAAACATTTATTGAGCATAAAAGCGTGTCCAATATTCAAAAAACTTCGTTAGGACATGTGATGATGACGCATCTTGTTTCATCTTTAGATAACGCTCAAGATGACATTCTGAAAAACATTCTATTGATGGATCAGTTATCTTTAAAGATTATACAACTTCCATTCCTCTGGATGGATCACTTATCTTCTTTGAAAACTCTACAGCTTCCATTCCTCTGGATGGACCAACTATCCCCTTTAAAGACTCTACACCTTCCATTCCTCTGGATGGACCAACTATCCCCTTTAAAGACTCTACACCTTCCATTCCTCTGGATGGACTAACTATCCCCTTTAAAGACTCTACAGATTCCATTCCTCTGGATGGACCAACTATCCCCTTTAAAGACTCTACAACATTCATTTCACAACTTTCAAGAATAGAAGAATCGAAATCAAGAATATTTACAGAAGCTACGAGTCTGCCCACTGTCGTGTTGCTTACTGGTTCACTACCAAACAACAAAGAGACAAATCTCCCATCATTTCTACTAAAACACACTCCTGCTGTGGATCTTATTGCTCCACCTGCCCAAACTTTTCATTTTACAGAACTAAAGTCTGCAGTATTTTACGACATCATACCAAGCTTGGTTGTTGAACCAGATGAAAAATTAAAATCTGCCACTTTCAAAGAAACTTCGTATAATAAGAATAAGCCTGAGGAATTTCCAAATAAAACAAGTAAAGAAGATAACTCAATAAAGTCGCCATCAACAGAGTTAAACGATTCTAAAGAAACAAAAGGTAAGAAAACGAAGATATAATGACTTTAAATTACTTTAGATGAAATCATACTCGAATATTTTGCTAAAATATATTTATTGTTTTGGTTCTTTAATTTAACAAGTAAAAATGTAAAAAAAAGAAAACAAAGACGCTATAATATATACCCTATTAAAAACTCCAACATTAACCTGTATTTAAACAATATATATATATATAAACAAACTATTAAAAACTCTAACCTTAACCTGTATTTAAACTATATATAAAGAAACACTGTTCAGAACTCTAACGCTAATCTATATTTAAAGGTTTGGCTTACAAAGTTAATGGTAAACAACAATAATTGAAATTATAAATTCGAATATGGAGGAAGCTGCTAAAGTAGTTTGAAAAGTTTAGCCATTTTTAACCATGAGGTCATTCTTTGAACTTTCTATAGTTGCTCAAGTGTGAATTATCAAATAGTTGTTTATAATAGGTTAGTAATGTAATTTACCTGTGCCTCGCGCGACGTTTATTTCATCGTATTCCAGGGAAAGGCGGGACAGAGTGCATAAGTGTCATTCGTTAAGTAGATTTGTTGAATAGGGGGAATCAGCTAAGATAGTCTTACAGTCCAACTGAAAGTTAAATTTCCCTGTGTAATGTTGTTCTTCTACAAGTTGTACTTTCTTGGTGTTAGATTCACATGGTTATAGTCACACTTTATATCGTTCTGTAGAACCCCAAAAGAACGTGAGCGATGTTTTCAAAAATGAACATTTTCCTGTAAAACCAACAAACGTTTCCATCGCATCAACGAATGAGAGAAATAAAACAACACTAAAAACAGCTGAACCAACGAAGATGAGTCCACAGGATTTTATCCCTTCCATATATGTCTACATCATCTTAACGCTAGGGATGGAATGGCCAGATTTTTGTGCTGAAAAAGAATTTATTCGCAAAGAAATTGCTGAAGCAATCTCTAAAAGGGGTGGGTTTGTGGAGGTCAAACAAATAGTATTCATGAAAAGTGACGAACACTGTAGTTCTGTGTTTCACCAAGAACAAATGTTGTCGAGTTTGAAGAACAATGAAGATCAGTTTATAGAAGTAAATTTATTTTTAATGGACAAAAAAGGAAATTACGATTTCAACCTGACGGAAACATGTGGCGCCCTCATGCAACTGGAAGCTGATGATTCCGAAAACACCATTGGTAATAGAAAAGCAAGTATAGGATTTTATTTTTTTAACGTTTCTATTGAAGGCTTATTTTTAGAAGTCAGATAAAATTCATGATATATATTTTTTTTACTTTGTCTTATTTAAAAGTATACTTTTTTGTAACCTCAATGAAGCTACTTTGTACACAGATCTGTATACTTTTTTGTAACCTCGATGAAGGTACTTTGTACACAAATCTGCACCTAGCAATCTCTAATTTTGAACTGACAGACTAGAGGGAAGGCAGGTAGTCAGTAGCACCAACCGCCAATTTTTGGGCAGGTTTCGTCTTACCAGGCCCAGCATGGCCAGGTGGTTAGGGCGCTCGACTCGCAATCTGAGGATCACGGGTTCGAATCCCCGTCACACCAAACATGCTTACCCTTTCAGCCGTGGGGCGTTATAATGTGACGGTCAATCCCACTATTCGTTGGTAAAAGAGTGGCCCAAGAGTTAGCGGTGGGTGGTGATGACTAGCTGCCTTCCCTCTAGTCTTACACTGCTAAATTAGGGGCGGCCAGCGCAGATAGCCTTCGTGTAGTTTTGCGCGAAATTCAAAACAAACAAAATCGTCTTACCAAATCGTCTCACAGGCCAAAGAGCATAGTCTAATTTTGTTGCAACGAACTGCGAACCATAGATTATCGGATTCACAGTCTGAGTACGTTAAACCATTAGGTCACGCACGGGAGCGAAGGTTCTATTTACTCGTTTTTTATACATTAAGTTAAAAATTATCTTTGTAGCTTTGGAACGTATCCTTTGAAGATATTCGAATTCTCCGCTATGCCTACATTTTAATGTAAATTTAAGTAAATTACTGTATTTTTAATTAATGAAAATAAAATAAAAGTTAGAAAGTTGGACCACCTGTAGCTAGTTCAAAAAAACATTAAATTTATGGAAACTTTGGCTGAAATCGAAAAATATTAAAGCTAAAATCCTCGTCTCATCACAAATACTTTATTAGTAAGTTGACAAACAACGATTTATATGCACATCGACGAATCTTCATGTTTAAACACGTAGTTGGTTCCCCATAATAATACCACTTCATCATGATCGTTGTTGGCCAATTTTCTATTATTTTAGCATAATATGCCAATGTTTTTCTCTTCCGTATACGACATTTAGCCAATGTGGTAGCGCCTTTGTTTTTAGTATACGACATTTAGCCAATGTGGTAGCGCCTTTGTTTTTAGTATACGACATTTAGCCAGTGTGGCTGCGTCTTTCTTTTTAGTATACGACATTTAGCCAATGTGGTAGCGCCTTTCTCTTTAGTATACGACATTTAGCCAATGTGGTAGCGTCTTTCTCTTTAGTATGCGATATTTGAAACCTAAATAACGTAGCTTGCGAGGAGAGTGAATTCAGAGAAATAATATCGACGTTCGTCAGGTAATAGCTGTTCTGGAACGTTTATTCGCGAATTAATATTTGTTAATAATTAATATTTCATTAGGCAAACAAATAATTCAATACACAGCAGAATTATTTGTTAGAATTAACTTATTATGTGCATAAACCTTATATTTACTTCCTGAAACAAATGAAATAATATAAATATACATTCATTTTAAGAACGGGATGATCCTGTTTATTTATTCTTTTTTAAATGCGGATGCTTTTTTCTGGACCAAAACGTAGCCCACGTGCTTAGTTACCTTGGACACCGTTTCTAGCTTTGGTCTTCTTTTTCGTTAGGAGTTTTGCTAGGCATTATGTTATTTTATTAGCTTTCGCTAAGCTAATATGACCGAGGTACTAAATTACTGTTTTTGTTAATATTTTCTCTCAACAATTAATTACTTGTGCTAATATTGCAAGTCTTCTTTGACGTATTATGGGTTATATTTAACATTCTCTGATACAGACGAAACGCTAGAAGGGTTATATTTAACATTCGCTGATACAGACGAAACGATGGAAGGGTTATATTTAACCCTCTCTGATACAGACGAAACGATAGAAGGGTTATATTTAACATTCGTTGATACAGACGAAACGATGGAAGGGTTATATTTAACATTCGTTGATACAGATAAAACGATGGAAGGGTTATATTTAACATTCTCTGATACAGACGAAACGATGGGTTATATTTAACATTCGCTGATACAGTCGAAACGATGGAAGGGTAATATTTAACATTCGCTGATACAGACGAAACGATGGAAGGGTTATATTTAACATTCGTTGATACAGACGAAACGATGGAAGGGTTATATTTAATCCTCTCTGATATAGATAAATCTTCAGTGAAGCAAGAAGATAAACTGGTAAAATAAACCTTTTTAAAATGTAGAGAAAAAAACACCAACTTTAATACTGGTAATTCTATGTTATTTCAACAGTTTAATCTCCAGCTGAGATGAAGCTGTTGAAGTAAAATAAAATTACCAATATTAAAGTTAAACAGCTTCTTGCTTTCTTTAACAGAATTAAAATGTTAATGGCCGAATTGTTTTATCTTATGGTTGCTGAGACAATTTGAGCTTTTTTTTTATTATAAATTATTATATGTGAGAATGTAACTAAAAGCTTCAATCGTAAAATATAACAACAACAACAACAACAAAACGGAGTATCAATGTGTGTAATTAATTTAATCACTAATAAATCCGAATTCTTATTATTCTGTCCGGTGATCTTACTTAAAGTAACGATCTTGATAAATAGTTGTAACTTAAGTAGCACAACTACAAATTACTTTTGATTTGGACGTAGTGGCTAACATGCTGAATTGTGAATCCGAGTGCCACTGGTTTGCGTCTCGTTGCTTCAAAATCGCGATCTGCACTTTGGAATCTTGGGTGCGTTATAAGAATAATGGTCAAATCTCACTATTCGGTTGGAGTAATCCAAGAGCTGGCTGTGATGCTGCCTTCCAACAATCTATTAGTTTAATATTAGGGATAGCTACCGCAGATAGTTCTTCTGTAGCTTTGCGTGTAATATCCGAAACTCTATAGTTTTAATTCTGTCTATTTTGCACCTATGTATTTATGCTAGTTACAAATGTGTTCATTTTGCACCTCCGTATTTATGTTCATTTCAAATCTCTCCATTTTGCCCATAAATACGGAGGAGCAAAATGGAGAGATTTGAAATGAACATAAATACGGAGGTGCAAAATGGAGAGATTTGAAATGAACATAAATACGGAGGTTGATTTTCCGTGTTCTTCTATTAGGTGTATCGTGTACAAGTTGAATTCAAGACCAACGAAGAAAGAGACCCGGTCTATCCCCCTGCTGATAACCCCAGAAAGAGTTCTTCCCGGGCAAACATAGTGGTTATAATAGTGGCTTCTATCGCAAGTGTTTGTGTAGTTCTGCTCGCTATTCTTCTGGTAAGAATATAAAGCATGGCATCTTGGAAGACAATGAGAAGCTACGGAAACGTGTCTCGTCCTTTGTATTAATGTTTTAATTCATGTTTTATAACGTTGTTTTCATGACTTACTTTGATATATTTGCACCTGACTAAGCCTACGTATTTATATATAATACACATCAGTGTTATTATTCGTTAATAAACAATGAACAATTTTAAACAAATTTAAGTCACTCGAGAGTCACATACCCAGAACTATAAAGCTGAGGATCTGTACTTTAAAAATACCTGTAATGGGGTATCTAGATGATGAGGTTGTTATAGAAAAATATAACTTTCGAGACAATCTGTCGATTATGTGGTCTTATTTACACCGTCATACGTACAAACGTTATTGTGTAACAACAAAACAGCTGCTATAGAACTACAAGAAAGCAACAGTATATAAACTGTTTACAATATGTTTTATTGTGAAGAGAATATTAAGTGCTGTTAACTGGTAGGACGTTACTAGCAGAATCTTTTGGGTTGACGTGTAGACGAAATTGTGTATGTAAGGACACAAACTGGCTGTATTTAGTTAAAGATCTTATATTAGGATAATTATTCTTAAATACGTAAATGTTTAACTATTGATTACACATTGTATAGATAATAAAAAAACCTTTTAGCAATTACTTGAAAATAATTTTGAGTTAGAATTTTACCGATTTTATGCCAGTATTTTTAAGTGAAGTCATTTTACAAACGTTTCTGACCATCAATAACATATCTTTTCTTAATTGACCGGTTTTAAAATGTTGTAGGTTTGTGTCTCCTGGGGCCATTAAATGTCAAACTTTTGAGTTTTTTTCTTCAGAAAACTGCTCGTTTGTTTGTTCAAATTTTGCATTCCTAATATTTGTGGTTGTCTTTGGACAAGCGTACTTTATCATTGTTAACAAAGCTTAACTATGTTAACTGTACATTATCGCTATTTTAATATGACATTTATTGACACACACACACAAGATGTGAATATTATGCGTTAATAAAGATATATTTTCTTCAAAGCTCTAAAACAAGCAGTACCTTCTTCAAGATAAAAGAAAATTCGTAAGTCAAGCTATACCCGTTATTCAACATTAAACCTTGTCAAGCAGTATTTTCTCTAACTTCTTCAGGAGCAAACCTTGTATGTGACAATCTGCAGTTTATTCAGAAAACAACAACACCTTATGATTCAAACTTTACTTTATTCATGAGAAATATTTGTAGGTCAAGTTTTACCCCTTTCAGTAAAACTCCTTGTAAATGGAGCTTTAATTTTTGTCCAGGAACACTCTTACCATGAAAGTTAAATCTTAGAAACACGTTTACCATGAAGGTTAAGCTTAGGAACACTTTTACCGTGAAGTGTAAAATTTAGGGATACTTTTATCGTGAAGGTTAAAGCTTAGGAATACTTTTATCGTGAAGGTTAAAGCTTAGAAATACTTTTATCGTGAAGGTTAAAACTTAGAAACACGCTTACCATGAAAGTTAAGCTCAGAAACCATGAAGGGTAAAGCTTAGGAATACTTTTATCTTGAAGGTTAAAGCTTAGAAACACTTTTACCATAAAGATTAAAGCTTATGGCAAGAAACTATTAAAACAAACAAACACATAAAAGTTTCAGGAGTCAAGACCTTTAGTAAACTATTTACCTTTAAAACTCTAATTACAGCATTTGTGGGTCATTCCTGACCAACAGAAATTCAGTTTCGAAACTTGAACTAAGTTTAAGTTTTATGCAGTATTTGGCCTGTTAGACTGAGTTTAATTTTTAGTTCAAGTTTTATGCAGTATTTGGCCTGTTAGACTGAGTCTAAATTTGTAGTTCAAGTTTTATGCAGTTTTTGGTGTGTTAGATTGAATTTACTTTTGTAGTTCACGTTTATGGGGTGTTAATCTTTTTAGCGTACAAGCTCTCCCCCATGCTTCATGTACTGGTAAAGCTAGCAAGCCTAGGTTCCTCAATCCGCTGTGATATTATGGGCTACTTTCGACACCAGGAGATCAAAGTCATTAATCGCTCTACATAATTACTCAGTACAAGAAGGAGGTTTATAATTCAAAGTCAAAGTATATTTAACTGAGAATGGAAACCAATATATCTGTTATTAAGGAAAATATTAACTCGATCACAAGCAATGTATTGTGATAACATTAAAGCTAGTGTGTTCGTCAAGATAATTAAAATATACCGAAACATCCCACGTAACTTGAGAAATATTATCGACTTGTGTTTGGATTGTATAGAAATGGGATGAAGTATGTCGTTATAAAAAGTTATTATTCAGAAATCAAATTAGTTCAATTTATTTTTTTGCTTTTTTTTTCAACCTTAGGCTATCATGAAACAGCGACTTAAAAAAGCTGGTGGTTGTGAGCCTTCACACCAAGAAGCCTACAGTTTAGATTCCTTTCCCACAGCTGCTAATGTTCGTCGGAAAAAGTCTCGGTTTTCCATGAGATCATTCCTTAATCAGGCTTTCGACGATCCGGTGAGTTTTGTTAGGATAACCCGAGCCACTTGTACAGAGGGTCGCCATCCCTCATATCGTTTGATAGAAAACATTACTAGAATATTATTATGTTTGTAGATGGAAGATAAACGTTAAGAGGACTAAATATAAGTCACTAATAAAAAATTTGAAAGATTAAGTTTTGTTGATAAAGAATAAATGATATGAAAAATATGAAACATTTAGATACAACCGTGGAATGTTTTGTTAATATTTCAGTCAACGATGATCATTACCGGCCTAAGCCACTGTGGAATCACAGTATCCGGCAATAAAAGATTAAAATATGTACTGATAGTAAATATAACTAAGAAATCTACCCTTTAAATGTATGAATTTTTGAGTAAAAAACAACAAAAAACTGGGACATTCTTACGCATACGAAAACCTTTAATTTGCTGAAAACCAAAAGTTTGCTATTCCACTCTTAACCCGAGTTTTATGTGAAAATAAACAGGCAGACTGATATTGAACACATTTGTCGTCGGCTCTGGATATGATATATATAGTATGACTGACATATTGTTACAAATTTTTCTTTGCTTTCACTCATAGAATTGGAAACATTTATTTACACAAATGAAGTTAAGCCTATTTGGTTCACGGTAAGCTATTAACAGGATTTTTGAATATATTTAGTGTGGAAATGAGTATTTGATTCCAACGTTTTCTTGCAGGACGAACCATCACACCCTTTGAACTTTACTGGTCTGACAAATTTCACGTGTAACGGTCAAGCTATGGAAGACGAATTTAAGGTAACAAAGTTACACTCGCTAGCCGTATCTGTTTAATTTCCTTTTAGAAAGATTACTGATTGACAGTGTGAAATTATATTTTAAACTTCCAGGAAGATGAGAAATTATTATTTGTTAAAGTCATTTCTATTGTGCATTTAGAACTTTTTAGGACCTTAATTTTCTTCCTTTCTCCTGCCCCCCAGTGGCACAGCGGTATGTCTGCGGACTTACAACGCTAGAATCCATTGTGTAGGTTTGTGCTTAATTCCCAACAAACTTCCTTTTCTGTATCACATGATCAGTTTATTTCATGAGTTATGTGATTTTATATTGTTGATGACTCAAGGTTCGGACTGGTACTTCTTAAGACAGTATTTAGTGTTATATTATTGGTGACTGACAGTTCGGACTGGTACTTCTTAAGACAGAATTTAGTGTTATACTGTTGGTGACTGACGGTTCGGACTGGTACTTCTTAAGACAGAATTTAGTGTTATATTGTTGGTGACTGACGGTTCGGATTGGTACTTCTTAAGACAGTATTTAGTGTTATATTGTTGGTGACTGACAGTTCGGATTGGTACTTCTTAAGACAGAATTTATGTTTTTATGGTGTTATATTGTTGGTAACTGACAGTTCGGATTGGTACT